AAAAACCGTTAGGAACCCAGAGTCAATAATGAAATTATATCAAATTCTAATGTCCATCCGGGTTGGTTTTTTTTATTTATTTTATCAGTTTATTTAAATTTTTTTTTGATATTTTAATATTTGGGTTGTATGATACATTCTAATTAATAGGATAACGCGTTAGATATATTAGGTGATCGAATTTGTACTACTCCTCCTCAAACAAATTATTTAACGTGGTTACGTCCAACTGCCACCACCCTAGATAAAGCAGATAATTGATCAAGTGATTTCTCTTTTTTTTTACATGAGATATTAATAAAGATGAATGTATAAACAAACATATTTTAGTTAGATTACAGTTGAATTCTTGTTTATAAAATCATATGGGCCGATTTGACTCTCTGGTGATATTTTTAAGTATCTTCAAAATTTGCACCAATCAAATAAATTTGCCCTACGTTTTTTGTGATAAGGCCATTTGAAATTGAACTTTTTTCTCGTTTGCACAAAGGGGAAAGGGGGGGAATTAAACAAACATGGGGATAACGTTAAACAAAAATATCTGTACTACATTAAAAATCAATCTCGTAACTCTAAACCAATCATAAACTGTTATCTCTTTGAATCTACTGAAACTAAAATTTTATACCAAGCTTTCTTTTATTTTTTTCTTTTTTAGTAACTTCACACTTACAGAATATTTTAGATTGTTGTGCTAAATAAGAATTACTACGTATATGCAAAAAATAAAATTTCAAAACCATTTATGATTAGAATAAATGTACGTGTAACAACCTGTTATACATCTTATTTGCCGAGTCACCACGATGTTCAGAAAGGCTTGTTATAATAGAACGACTTAAGCGAAAAAGCACTACTGTATCTTCAGATAATGAATAATTTATCTTGTATTCTATTTTTATTATATATATCAATAAAACTGGCCCTGGTGGCCGATTTCGCATACGTAATCGCGTTTACTTCTGCATGTGTATTTCGTGGATTTATTTATTGTATTGTTATTGATGTATATTAACTCGCATATGATCGGGAATTTCATGGTAAACTTGAACGACCTGAGGTCTGCGAAATTTCTTGGCAATTTGATTTTTGTTTTAATTCGAAAATTTAAATAAATAATATCTTATATGAAACAATAGCAAATATACAATCCAAAATTAATTTGTTAGAAGAACAGAATTCCAAGCTTATTGTAGAGATTACTGAACTTAAAAAGAAGTATGCTGGGGTTGAGGCTGAGAATATCGAAGTTAAAGCTAAGAACGCGAAGCTAAGGTGGTTCATAAAAGAGAATACTGAGCTCAAAACCAGAATTGAGGAGTTAGAGAAAAATAGGATAGAGACTACTGCTGAAAATGCCAAACTTAAAGCTAGAGTTGCGAAATTAGAACAGAATTTTGAACATTGGCTAGAAAACGGTGATAATTCTTCTGAGAACATTGCTAATGTACCCAACCCCGTTATAGATCAGTGCATTGATACTAACTCCAAATCATTAGAGGATAAAGAGATGAACAATTTCTTAGACGAGAAAAACAAGGAAAAGATTAGTAATGAAATAAGACAATGTAATAAGGAAAGAAAACTTTTACGTGAATCAGATAAAAACCAATCTCAGGACTTATCTCCAGTTAACACAATATTTCGCCAGATATAGTATGCAATACTGAAATAATTAACGACCAGGATTCACGTAAACAGAAGAAAGGAAAAGATTTAATACAGGAAATATTACTCGAAAAAAATCATATAAATGAAAATTTATCTTCAGATCAAAAAAGCACACATATCACAAATGCAGAAGCATTCTCACTTCATGAAACTTCAAATAACTGCAAAAGCAGGCCTTATAGGGCTAAAAACATCATTAACTTATATCAAAATGCATGCAATGCTGAAGAAAGTGCAATGAAAGCCAATCAGGAAGAAATATTATGTTGGTGTTTGTATGCTAAAGAATTCAAATATTTGGTTAGAGATTTTATGACCAAATATAATATTGGTGAGAAAAAAGCAAAAGGCCTAGTCTATGACTTTATTATAGAACAACTTCCCAATACTAAGCAGGAAAATTTATGTAAGCAAACTCAGAGAGCTATAAAAATCTTTAATTTATTTGAAAAAATAGGAATGGATAAGGTTCAATATATTAAAACTTATAGCGCGAATTCTATCTCAAAATTTACTAACATAGAACTTCAAAAGGTTATTGACTATTTCTCTAGCAATTATGACAATTGTTCCACAGAAATTTTGATGACCTCGGGTCTTTCAAATCATGTGACTGAAATTCCTGAATCTAGTTCGAAAAGTATACCTATTGAATCTCAAGTTTCTGATTCATCAAGCTCTAAACCATCTCAAGAAAATGATCAAGATGAGTCAAAGACTCGAAGCTCTGCTTCCTTGGAATTACCAGAAGATAAGCTAAATGCATCTACTGAAGAAACAGAGTCTCGAGTCCCTAACTCTGCTAATTCAGAAACAGAGGTAAGTATGCCATCTATATCCCAGGTAAATATATCTAACAAATCCCGACATCCAATTTCTATTTTACCTAACAATCCTGAGGAAAAACGAAAACATGTAATAAAAATGGTATTGGAATGATTCACTAATTTATCTTTTAAACATAGTAGTAAATACACTGATCATTTCAATTGTACAGAAACATGTCCTGTATGTAATGAAGAGCATAAAGACGATAATGTCAATAGTGAATGGGGTAGTGGTGATTATTACAGTGAAGAAACTTATCATCTTTATTGTAGAAAGGTATATCAGAATGGAATCCAAGTGGTAACTGTGAAAAAAGAAAATATAAAAGAAAAGTGAAAGGACCTTATCAACAAGGTATTGAAGCAGTATCCGGGTATATCTTTGAGTTGTAGTACTAATTCTAATGATATATA